AATTAAGAAAGCAGGGGGAAGACAACACGTACTGAAATGTCTGGCTGTTCAGGTTTATGCTACAGGTTTCCTTTGTGATAAACAAATGGAGAACTGTGGTTTCCACCTCTTAATGCTGTAACACCTCAGCCTACAGTGAGAATCACTTAGGTTTTTTTTTCCCACTCCGAGCCTCACCCCTTGGCAAACAGTTAAATTGTATTTTTGGTTGCCTGCTTATCTCTGTCTATAAAAATGACTGGATTAGCATTTGGAGCTAATAGAGGCCCGTGATAGATGTGTTTTAAGGCTCATTAGTGGTAGGAAGTCCTGAGAGACAGGCAGAGCTTGAAATTGAAATACTGAAGACATGCTAAGAGACTTTGTTTTGGATTAAGAGAGTTAAACCTGCTTTAAGCCTGCATAGAGAGAAGCAGAACTGCAGAAACTCGGTAATTAGGATCCTTAATACCATCGTTCATAGCAGAGGCCTGCACTGATGCCACTATTATGATTAAGAGTCGTATTTAATTAAGGGAACTTTTATTCAATTTCTCAGTGTTCTCAGTTTACATCTAGTTGTCTGTCTTACTGGCAGCAAGAATTCCAGCAGGTCTTTTGTCTTCACCCTTTCTCCCCAAATTCTGCTTATTCTAAACCTGTGCTGAGTTTGGTCTTTGGCACGGATCACGACGCAGAGCGCTGGTCCTGAGCAGGCAGAAGGACAGCGTGGCAGGAGAGGAGAAGCATTTAGTTCCTCACATTGAGGAAGAACAAGATGAATGTGAACTGGCAGCAGACATTACCGTGAGCTTTAGTGGAGACACAATTCAGGCTTAAAACTCAGGGAGCTCCTGAGATGCAGTCGGTGGTGCAGGGGACGTGGGAGAAGGGTTTTGCAGTCACTGGCTGCCTGCTACTTCTCCTGAGCTGGGCTAGAAGCATTCGCCACCATCTGCAGTCACAGTAGTGTCAGGTTTTGAAACTTTGGAGCTTTGTTTTTCTGAATTTGCAGCAGATACACTTCAGCCTGCCCGTGGAGCGAGTTGGAAGTATATAATGGGTGCAGAAGTCACAACTTTCTGGATTCTGCTTTGCCAACTTTGCTCCTTCATGTTTCAGTTTACATTTTTTTGAGTTGAGTATTCTTTGAGAGAGAGGTTGGTTAGTTAAAATACATTTAATTAAATAAATATTTGGGCAGCAGTACTCTGGGGTTTTTTTGTTTGGTTGGTTTTTTGAAAGGGAATTTAAGATGATCTTCTCCAATGTGTCTTTTCAGTGAAGGAAGGTTGGGGTTTTTTTGACTGTTGAGGGAAGATGATGATGCTGACTGTACAAAGCCAGAGTCTAATAACCATGTGCAGTCTGAGGCGCTGCAAGTTCAATAGCTGTGAGATTTCAGGGAAAAACTTCCTTTCTATATCTTCATCTCTGCTGAA